ACCATGGAAACATGCAGCCCTCATTTCCCCAGACATGCACACATGTATGTGCTGACACACAAACACACACTAGTGTAAGCAGGCTTATGTATTCTTATGTCTAATTCGGGGAAATGTAAAAATGACCCCTGTGATTCTGAGACAGCGGCAGCAATTGAGACCCTGAATGAAAGAAATGAGGGCAACCATATTCATCGCACATCATCACAACACAGCCCGACAGACGCATACACACAGGCGAGACATGATAGGGTGGTTTAGGTATTCCTGTGTCTAATTCTGGGAAATGATTTGTGATTCTTGAGACAAGAGGAATGATGCAGAACCTGAATGAGGGACACCAGGGGCAACAATATTTACTTAGACTTCATTACAAGCACACGCACCCTCGCACAAAAGTACTCCCAGAGGTTTAACCTAAACCCAACTCTGACCTCTCCACACCCTCGGCTCTGTTACCCAAGCCCGCTTCTATCCTTCACTCTGCATGCCATCCAATAATGTCAACTACGAGCTCCTGTCAGGCTGTTTTTAAACACAAGGACAGAGACTCAATTACAGCAGAATGGCTCTCAGGAGTCATCCTCCATCCTGAGACACACACACCTGCTAATGGTTGTCAGATTTGCAGGCAAAAGGGTCAAAGGTCAAACCAATCTGCGTTCCACAACAATCAGCAGCTTCCACCGGCCTCTGTTGTTAACATCACTCGATTAGGAGGATGTACACACACTAACACACTCATACAGTTTGTGTTCAGAGACAAGAGAAGGTTCACATGCTTTCGAAATCAAAGAATGTCATAAAAGTGGAAAAACAAAAAAAAGAAATTGGGAAAAAAATGAAATCTGATTCATTCAGTGTCCTTCCTTACATAATGTGCAGTATAATTTGTCGCTAACGGCCTCTAACTTCAAAACAATAACAAAAACGTAGTTTGATGACGTTCTGAGGTAGCACGGGATCATGGGAGTTGCTGACTTCATTGTTAAACCACCACCATTACCATGAAAATCTATCAAACATGACTCACGTTCACGACGAGGCAAGTTTTATTCATGTTACATTTAGCCACGTTCACGGACTTCCTTCCTCACTCTCTGATGTATCCCAAGTTTCCCTGGAAGTTATAGCATCTAGAGAGAATAAAGGCGGTATGTAGCCATTGACAGTTGACCAAAAATAAACACACCGTTATCGTTAAATACAATTATGGACAAATTAGGTTGGGAATGTTACTTATTCTATCTTTAAACACACCAAAGCGAAAGATGAACTACACTCCCAGCAAAGCAGCTTTGGTGGTGCCCTTGATTGTTAACAGAGACTTCACTATTTGCTATGACTGGCAACATTAACACTAGCATAGAAAATTAACACCAACGACCAGCCAAATGCTGTTTTTCCTGCAACTGATCTCTGATCTCCAAGATAGTCGGCAGAAAATCCTGCTTTCTCCAAGTTTTATTTGCTGTTTGTCCGTTGAAGTCATAGATCCACCAGCCAGTGTTGGATGGACAATAAAAGTCTTCCTGGCATGACAAATGCATTTATCAGCCTATTATAACCACATGCGTGTAAGTTGTCCGAGTTTCGTATATCTGTTTCTCTGCACCCAACTGTTCTTTGGCGAACATACAAAAGAACCCAAAATAACGCTGAGGGGTTGAGGGGGACATCAATCTGTAGCTGTGTAATCCTAAACCTTCACCTTCCTCTTAATACCCATCATCCCCCCTTTAATACCCACACATACCAGGACAGAGTAGGGCCACAACAAATGGTCCCCCGACAAAGGGCAGAGTTCGGCCAGTAGCACTTGTGCTCTCACACGCATAGACACATGTACATCAACACATACATGCAGACACAGATAGATGCAAGACATGCTCAAGGAACACACACAAGAGTGAGGAGGGGAGCTAAGTGGGGGCTTTACCCTCTTAACTTGGCAAGTCTGATCAGAAGAGGGTCTGTCATCCCCCTTATCTGAACCCTCCCGGGGGCTGAGAAACCACTGTGGCCCCCAGCCTGACCCGTCCAGCCCCAGGGGGGGTTTAAGGCCTCAATTTAAAACGAGAGTGAGAGAAAGATGAGAGCTAAGCCAATCAATAAATACACAGAACACATGCACATTCACTCGTCCAAACAGATGAAGGGAGCGCGCTGAGGGTGGATTTACACTGCGGACAGAGTAGTGGTCGGTGTACGTGTTACAATTACAAAAATAAAAAGCCTCCTAAATCATGATATGAAAGTAGAGTGCAAATGTGACGATAAAATGGGGGCGGAGGTGCAAACGGCAATACCCACAAATACACAAGAAACCCCGCTATAAATGCCAGCTGGCCTTTCTGGCCCGCTGCAGTCGGAAACTACCAAGAACTACTTGGCTTACGGTTAATTTAACTTTAGGGCTCCATACAAATTCAATAAAACGGCTTCATTTTGTTTAAACTGGTGCCCGAACCAGAGTGTCAGAGTGTGACGGCACATATACTGGTAACACAGTTTATGGTTTTATAGAAGCTGGCTTTACTTTGGTATAGTCAATCCAGCTAGTGAAAAAAAATTTACTATAATATAAAAATATTTCTAAATGCAGTTTTAAACAGCAGATTGTGACTGAATGAAAAGTGAATCTGAAAAACCTGAAAAAAAGTCCAGTTCGACCAACTGGATGAGGAATGTTTGCAATGGTTAACTTGAGGCTTTGATGTGAAGATTTACAACAGAAGATCTCACAAATAAATATACAAATATAGATTTCCCAGAGCATTATATTATCCTCAACATTTTTTACAGCATCTTATTTACAGCAGGGCTCCCTGGTTGTGTTGATGCCAAGCTCTCCCTAAACACACAACCTGCAATATAAATAGATGTGTGTCTAGGATCTTGGATACAAAGTAAACAAAACACTAAGATAGTGCAAAAGGGAATCTCCTGCTACCTCAGCGTGTTAAAGTCTATGCTGTGTACTCAGCACACTGTGGGTTCAGATCTGACTGATGACCTTTGGATCCACGTCTCTCCAATTTGTCATATTACTCCCCACTGTATGCAATGTTCTAATGCAGGACAGTCCTTATTAAATACAATCTAATTTGTTTCACGGTCCCTTCAGCATACTGGGTAACTTCAGAAGGCTGAGAAAAACGCTGGCGGTAAAGTAGGGTTCAAGAGTAGTTTTAACTGATTTGAAACTATTTAAAATGAACATAAATCAGATAATCAGATTATGTCAACACAGTAAGTGTTATTTCTGGCCTAAAGTCGGTACATAAACAAAATTGTTCAGACTATACTGTACAAAATGCAGCAGCATGTTGATTGTCCAAATAAAAGGCCCTTTATTTGCCTTTAAGTTTTAGCATAGAGTTTAAGATTCTGCCTTCAATTTTTAGACACAAAACTTCAATGTTTCCTTTTAAACTATTGTCACTGGTTTTTGATTTGTTCACTTCTGGAACAGCCGTTGAGAGTGACAGCTTCTCACAAAACCTTCAAATATATATTTTCATCCTGCGTTTACATTGTTTACATTAACAATTGTTAAACAACAGTGAATCCAAATAGGAAATGTTTGTTCAATTACCTCCTCGACTTTCCTCTGACAACAATCTGCTTAGTTGTGGAGCCTACAGCTCTGTGGCACAGAATACTTTTGGTTACTCATGTGGTGTAAGCAGTGCAGTCAGTGAGAAAATAGCAAGGGATACTGAGATAAATATTTTGAACCCAAACTGTTACCTTTGAGCTACTAAACACTTGGGTTGTGCTACAAGAGCTGTTTGGAGAAATTTGGAAGATATTTCGTGTTATTTTTGGTGAAGTTTTAGAAAGATCAATTAAACAAGTCATGTTTGGTATGTCCTCAGTCCTCAGGGATTTTTGATTAACACATAGTATAAATATTACAAAATTTGAACATAGGTGATTTATTTAAGGCTCCTAAACTAATAGGAGTACAAACCAGAATTAACTATATTTAAATATTCTGTTTTTACATGCCTGCACACAACTTGCAAAGTGCAGCAGCGTCACCATTTCAGACAATAGAAATGTAGCCGACTTCTTGGCTGAGAGTAGTGACACTTCCTCGACAAAATAAAGCCAGAACAAGGTAAAATGTAATTAACCCATCCACCTCTGGCTGTTGACCAAGATACAAGCAGTAAGTCTGCAAGGAGAGAAACTCCCACCTGTCCCAGCGAATCAAATGTGCACCTTTTACAATGTAGCTCTGTCAGCTGAACAACGAGCGTGACTGGAGGCACAAACGGACTGACAAAATGACACACACACGCACACACACCGAGTTACTGCCCTGCCCTCTATTAGGGAACACAATGAGTGTGTAAGGGGATCTTAATGAAGGACTCCCCTGAGGCAAAGCTCGACGCCTCTGCTGAGGATGTGTACTGTTAGAGCTCATTAAATGAACATGAGTACTACCACTGACATGGTGGGAGTGTGTGTGTGTGTGTGTGTGTGTGTGTGGTGTTCTGTTACAATACCAGATTTAGCTGTTTGTGTCATGCAGTACACATGCACCAATTTATTGAGTGTGCACGCTCATGTTGTTCCATTTGTGTGTGTTGAAGGGACACAATCAGACTTTACGCGGTGAGTGTGAGCTTCGTGTGTGTGCCTGTGGCATTTTGTTACCGGAAAATACTTACATAGAGCTATTGATATCACGGATAATACAAGTCTCTTATTCTGACAAAAATAACTTGAAGGAATAATCGTATTTAGAACAGGGAAGGGCACAGGGTGAGGGAAAAAGAGATAGTTCTGTGGAGAGAAAGGATGACAACGTGATGTGAGACAAGAGAAAACCAAAAAAGAAATAGAAGATTTGGAAAAAGTCATAAAGAAAATAGAATAGTGGAAGGAGGTGCACTGTGGAAAATGATGTAGCAGTGCCCTCTTGTGGCTTAAAATGGTTTTAAAAAAACCGATGTGTTTATGTACAATATGTGCGTTTGACTCACCTCTCTACCCTTGTGCGTGACCAGGGCAGCCAGTGGCTTTGCGTAGAAGCGGCTGTAACTGAATCCCAGGCAGCCGTACATACTGTTAGCAGTCAGCTTCAGAGCCTTCTGGCGAATGTCATACTGATGGACACAGACTCAAATTAGGCCAAACAGATGCAACTCCTTAATTATGAAGACACGATAGGTTAGCAGTTGTCTCAGTGGTAAATACAAATGGTTGACAATAGAAGGAGTGTGATTATAGGCACATCTAAGGTAGGAAAGGCTAATGAGATATTCATCACCATGGGTGGGTCAGATGGTTAACCACACCTGTTATTATCGTCTATCAGCCTTGTGGTAGCCTTTTTAATCCATTTAAACCTAAGATCTGACTGGGATCCAAATATTTGTCTATTCAAATACATTTGTGGTTTGTCTGTATTCTGTTTTATTTATTTCATCCGAAAAGTTACAAAAGTATGCTCATCCAAACATGATAAATACAACGTGCTGGACTGAAGTATATGCGAGTATGCAGTCTACTTTTTTATTATTCATTTCACTGAAATGAAAATGGTTGACAATTTTGTCAAACAGCACTACTGTGCCTACTAAACAGCTATTTGCATGTCTTCACTGAGAGCAGAAGATTATATAATGCACTAAAAGATGTCCAACTGCTGTCCATCTGTACGCTCAGCATGATCGAAACAGTCATCTTTCCACTAATATATGGTTAAATAAATATGCTTCAGCAAAACAATGACTGTTTGGAACATAATAAGCATACAGATGGACAGAGAAGAAGTCAATTATGCTGCAGGAGTGGTCTGAGGAGTTTCTGTGGACATCATGATGCTTTTTTTCCACCATAAGAAACCGGTCACCAATTCTATTATTTGTAAGTGACATAAATTTAAACGGACTACAATCACAGCAGCGAACAATAAACCTTTTATAGCCCTTACAGCCTCCACAGGGTATGTGTTGAACACCCAAAAGATTGTGTGTGGAGTATCACTTGATACAACATGTACAGTACAGCATGTAACGTGAGTTTCAGTGTGAACTTTAAGTTTGTGTGTGTGTGTGTGTGTGTGTGTGTGTACCTACCTGCAGGTAGAGGTCTGGGTTGATGTCTTGCTGTTTCATCAGCTGTTTGACCTGTTTACGCCGCTCGACCAGCTTCCTGATTTCTTTGGGCAGGATTCCCATATCCAGGTTTAAATCTGGAATCTCGGGAATCTCCTCTGCCTCGTCCTCCTGTAACCACGGAAACAAGACTTGGAAGTGAGCTGGAACTTTGGGAAGAAGAAAGTCAGGCTGGGGACCAGGATGTTGAGGCTGTTCAAACCTCTGTAACTGGCCCGTGGGATGAATCTATAAATCATGTCTGGTCTTCATTATTCATTTATTAATGAATCAATTACACAAACACCTGCCTCTACAGTAAACATGTGAGCACACACACACACACACCTCATTTTTCTTCTGTGTGCTGTGAGCCTCCCTCTGCACAGTGGTGAAGCAGATGTTGAACTCTTGGATGATGGAGGGATACAGGCTATTGAAGTCAAGCAGCAGCACAAACTTGTCGTAGAAACCTATACAGAGAGAGAGGGAGGTTATAGAAATATGTAAACAGACATACATATGAGATAAATACAGATTTTAAACTCAAAACATCGACTTACCAACTTTAGGATCCAGCACCAGACCTCCAGCATAGGCTGCCTTCTTCTTCCGCTTGCCTTTACCTGCATCCACATCTTCTTCTCCCTCAACCTGGGACACAGGAACAAAGACAAATTTGTGACATGACAGTACATTAATAAAGAGAAGCTGTGTGTGATTGTGTGTGGCCTTACCGTGTCCAGCTGGGCCTTTCTAAAGGAGGGTTTGTCAGGGACTATGTAGTTTTTGTCGTGGAAGGCATGAAGCAAGAGGAACTCATTCCTCTCAGAGCGACCGCCCATCAGAGTACGAGACTGCAGAGAAGAAGCAGGAAAACATCGGGTGATTGAAGCAAATAACTTTATCAAAAGGAAAAGAGTCGTAGACCAGAGATTGCATATGACTTCTAAGTGTAAAATGTCATTTTAACCCACCGCATTGTGTTTTGTAGTTCTCCCCAACAAACTTTTCTCGTCATTCACAAGAGAACAGTCTTGCTTTTGTCTGCAAACTGTTTAGTTTCTGACTTCAATTTTCAGTATTTGTATTTCAATGGTGAAACAAGCGAGAAGAGCTGCTGCCTTGAATTTAAAAACCGCAACAATCTGCCATCCCAGGTTCTTTTGTCATTTGTGTTTTTTAAAAATGCTTTTTTCAAATAAAGTTGGTACTGCACACATTTTTGATTCTGGGAGCTAAGCAGGTGCATTTTATGCACGTCAGTTATTAGGATGCGGATAACCTGACATTCAGCAAATTGTGAAGTGACTGCAGTTTTGTTATTTGCATTCTGTTTGAGCTGAGCAATACTGGGCTGTGACATCTGATGTATATTTTTCCAGCTGGGTATTTAAGAATAGCAAAGAAAAAAGTGTTCTCATGTGTTACCATGACATTGCCAGCAATGTTGGTGATCTGCAGGGCCAGCGGCAGCACGTTGAGCTCACACATCATCTGCAGGATCAGCTTAGCGTCTGTCCATGTCAACTCCAACAGGTAAAGCAGGTGAGGAGAGTCACTGACAGACAAACACAGATAGGACATTTTAGGATACGCACACTTTTTTGAGTTCACATAATGTGGGGGCGGCTGTGGCTCAGAGGTAGAGCGGGTCGTCCCCCAATCAGAAGGTTGTTGGTTCGATCCCCGGCTCCTCCTGCCACGTGTGGAAGTACCCTTAAACTGGCATGTGTCGAAGTATCCTTGAGCCAAGAAATCTGAACCTGCAATGCATGTGTGATGTGTATGAATGTGTTAGGTTTCGTTCGATGTTCCGATGACTTTGGACATGGACTTTGGACTTTGCCATCGCTGGTGAAGTTGTGTGAAAGGGTGAATTGGCATGTAGTGTAAAAGCGCTTTGAGTGGTCCGGAAGACTAGAAAAGAGCGCTTATAAACAAGTACCAGGTCCATTTACCATAATAATACTAATTACAATAAATCAAAGGAGTTACAGTCAGTGTTATGTCATACTTTTGTGTTAGTGAGAGGAACACATCTCTTTTTCTGATTTGGTTGAACTGAACCTTTAAGGACAAACAAACCTGTAGAGATTCTTAATGTTTTCCTGAGGGACGGTGGCTCTCTCCATCTTCAGCACCTGCGCAGCCAATTCAGTCAGATGGTAACTTTTACAACGAATCAGCTCCTTGGCTGAGATCTCCACGTCGCACACCAGGCGGCCACAGGTTGCGCTCTTCTCTGCAAAGGCACCACGACCCTGGCAAGGACAACAGTGTTTAGTGATGTACACAGTAATATCATAAAGACACCAGAAAAACAAACGTATACTGCAAAGGATCTTTATTCTTCTTACTCCTAGTTTGGGCATGTTGGCCCTCCTGAGGCGTCCCATCTTAGACCAGTGGGGAACCTTGCACACATTGATCCTCTGCAGAATCACTTCAAGGTCAAAGCCAAAGATGTCGTGACCCTACAGAGAAGCAATAAGGATAAGCATTCAAAATTTTTACCCATGATGAAACACTGCACCTTAATCTTGACTTACTGTGCATCTTATATTTTAATTTCTAGGATGCTTATCTGTAATGATTCAGGAAATTGCATAAAAATCTCTCTGTCCCAACATCTTCTACTCACCACCAGCACATCGGGGTCAATTTTGTGCATCTTGGCCAGGAAGAAGCCAAGCAGGGTCCGCTCTGTAGCAGCAATCTCCACTTTCCCATTCTAACAGAGAAAGGGCGTCACGCCATCAATGAGTCACATATATTGAAGAAAAGTCTTCATCAAATATACTCATTATACATTCATTCTAATAATATTAACCTTTTATACAAATTATACTAAATTAAACTTTCTGCAAAGTGCTCTGGAAACTGCTTTTATTTAAGCGTCACATGCATAGGCACTTCCCATCCTGCTACATCTGTAAAATCCCTGTAAATTAGTAAACAATGATCTTTCTCAAAATATCAAGACAACATTGTTCCTGTTTCTGTTCAAGACTAGTACAAACAAGCTGAAATCCACATTAACTCAACAATCTCCTGGCCACTCACCTTCTTCTTCACAGCCTCTTTGAAGTCGTAGGGGAAGATACAGTCAGCTGGTTTGCTGACCACTGCAAAGACAACATTTTAACAATTTCCAAATGTTTGTCATTTAATGTTCCCATACATTTCCATTGTAATGCATTCATGCAATAAACAATAGTATGAGTATAAATAACTAACCACAAAAATGGGTCTGGTATGGAGGTTGAGGTGGTGCTTTATCCATATAGAACTGATAGTGGACCAGAGCAGCCAGGGACACAATCTGCAGAGGAACAATTATATCATCAGGTCCTTGCTCACTCATCAGTCTGTCTCAACACACCATAAATTGACACGGCTACATAATGAAACTAAATCATTGTATCACTGTCCACTATATTTCCTGCTAAAAGGGAAAGGGTATATTTGAATGTGTGTGCAGCTGGAAGTGTTCTGACCTCGTTGTGGTGGGTCTTGGGGTTCTGGATGGTCTTGAGGCTGATGGACATGACAGTGATGGGTGGGGGCGACAGGTCTTTGACCACAGTGACTAGGTCACTCCTCAGGGCCAGAGCCTCCACTTTACACCAGCTGACCGGCTGGCTGATCAGCTCTAACACAGACACAAGGGGGTACACGAGAATTTTTAAAATTCAAAATAATTTCTATATGAACTTCTGATATCTCCAACAGGAGGTTGCAACATGAAATTAATTGTACTTCTAAATATCAGAATCCTTCAAATGCAAATCCAGCTGTACTAAATACAGGGTGTCCTATCAGTTATTCAAACACATTTATTATTACAAATTCTGGACAAAGGAACATCCTCCTCCTTACGTGGTGTTTTGATGTCCAGCCAGCAAGGCCCTTTGATCTTCCTGCTGAGGAGGAAGTGCTCCAGACTGGAAGTGTTGGTTCCAAAAATGTGGGAAAAGGTCGCCCCCTTAAGGTCCAAAGGCAGCGCAGGGAACTCAGCCTGCAATATTTAAGACACAGACAAACAGGCAATGATAAATAAAAAAACAGCTATAGCTATACAGCCTGAACAGCTAGAGAGGGTGTGTGTGTGTGTGCACATCCACTCACAGAATATCTGACTTCCAGGTACTCGCACTGACTGGGCACATCAGGAATTTCAAAAGCATAGTTCTTCTCCACTTTCTGCGGAAAGAGAAACACAGAAAACAAGCACCACTTACAAACACGTCGAACAGGCCAATTGTCTGGAAATTACATTTATGCTTTACAGTCAGGTAACTAAGGTTAGCACTGACCTTAGACTTGAACTTCATGATCCGGAACTTCTCAGAGAGGTCATTAAACTCCTGGTAGACGTCCATCAGTCCAACAGGAGTGTCTGACACCTCTCCAGTCTTAGTGTTCACCTTCTGTTTATGGAAACACAACCAAACAATTTAAAGAATTCCTTTGAAAAAACAACATAAGAGATGGTTTCCCTATTTTGTGTGCTCATAATACTACTGAGTTACTACAACATATCTAAATAGGTTTTTTTTAACAATGCATATAAAAGGGAAGAAAACTGTTTCTTAAAGCATGTCCATCTGCAAGGATAGTGGCAGTAATGTGACAGAGCAAGAAACTCACATATTCGCGAGGCAGGAAGTACATGGTCCGCTCAATGTTCTTGACAGTAACACAGCAGCTGACGTGAGACTTTGCAGACTCAATCCAAACTTTTCCAAACAAGTAGACCACACCTAGGGGGACAGTTAAATTCAAATATCAGAAAATGCTCTACAAAGCTGAACAGGATCTTTGGATTATGGAATTACATGATAGTATCCACTGTATATATATTCACTCCTGTGGGAATATGCCTTACCTGGTTGGCTGTAGGGGTCTTCGAAGGCATCCAACCAATAGAAACGGAAAACCTGCTCCCCGTCTGCACCTTCCACCAGCGGGAGTTGGCTAGAGTCAACCTGTATCTCTGCTTGAGCCTCGCTGCCTACACCTTCCTCCTCTTGTCCCCAAGAGCTTCCGATCCTGCTTGATCTGGAAAAGGAAGGAGGACGGCGAAACTGAAGTTTGTGCTACGCCGTTTTCAAAGTCTTTACACGTTAGCTCAGTATAATGTATGCACAGCATTTCAAGATTGAGACAAAAAAAATCCAAAAGTAAAAGTAATTTAAGCAGATAAAAGACTTACAATAAGACGGGGTCCTGAGGCTCGGATTTGGGCTCCACTTTAACTGCCACCTGTGCTGCTGCTGCTTTAAATTCATCATCATCTTTCATTGCAGGCTTCTCCTCCTCAACCCCGACCTCCATTGGCTCATCGAAGTCCACCCCATCAAATGCCAGAGAGTCACTCACTGAGAAACACATTGTCATAAAAGTTAAGGTGCTAGAAGAGAGATAAAGAGCAAAAGGCTAGCAGATAGCTGTATTTGCCTTTCTTACCTTCCTCTTCCACTGCCTCCACTTTTGCTTTCTGCTTCTCCACAGGAAGAGCAGGTGTAGGGGCAGGGAGGCGGGCTGATGACCTGGGAGTTGGGTCAGAAGGCGGCGGCCTGACAACTTTGGCCTTTGACCCCGTAGCTGAGGATGACTCCTGTTAAGGGACATAAAATATCTTGTAATTATTGAATTAAAAACATAATTTCGTCAGTGACATAGTTTACAGATACTTCCAATCATGTGGTTCAAATATGTTTAAAGTCTATGGCAGATAATTATGATTGGTTTAAGGATACCTTTGGTATCTGAGGTTTGATGGAAAAGGGGTTCAAGGGTGATCCAAGAGACTTCTTTTTCTTCAGAGTGACCACTGGTGGAGGAGTCAGAAGAGTCGGTTTCTGAGTACACAGACGGAGAGACAGATGTTTTAAAGGCAAACGTCACAACCTATCAGATTAGGTAGGGACAATAAAGAGGCTATGAAGAACAAAGAAGACTGTAAAATAACTACAAAGGTTAAAGGTTTAATTCTTAGATCAACACTTTGTGTTTATTCATCCTTTTGTGCAACCAAAGTGAGAAAATCAAATGCATTAGTTGACATTGAATTGTGTTTGAATACATTCTGGATGATATGGTACCAACCTCAGAGTGCAAGTCCTGTAAGATATCTCCTAAAAGGTCATCTTTGGACAGGTCCACGTCTTTCTGCAAGAGACAACATTATGCTTACATATGTCCATAACACAATTTCGATAATATTTCAATTAATTGTGCAGCCCTAACAGGAGCAAACACCGAAGCAAGTCATTGATGCCAGCAGGAACATACCTCAGCAGGCCTCTTGACATTACTGTTCATGAAGAGGCTCTTAATGGTGTTGGGTTTGGCTACAACAGATTTCTTTACATTTTTCTTGGAGTCTGCTCCTTTAGCGCCTTTTTTCCCTGCGAACACAAAAAAAAAATCATTCTTTGTACAAAATGATTTACTGTACATTGTCCCACACTCAAAATACACATACACTGTTGTGTGCTGTAATACTGTATGAATGTTTACCTTTGTTGTTCTCGACAACATCATCATCCAAATCATCGTCAAAGATTTCTCTTCCATCCTCCACATATCCAGTTCCATCTGAGAGGAGAAGAGAAAGATTCACATCAGACCTCCACATCACACATATTCCCACAGAAGGATCAGAGTGGCCAGAATTAGCTGTCAACTATTTTAATAATTGATGAATTGATTTACATCATTGAGAAAAAAACTCAAATTTCTCTGATTTCAGATCCTCAAATGTGACTATTTTCTGGTTTCTTTATTCTTCTATGACAGTAAATGGATTTTCTTTGTGTTGTGGACGAAACAAAAGATGATTTGAACCTTGGCCTTTGGAAAACAGTGACATTTTTACCATCTTATATAACGGATAATAAAAGTAGTTAGTTGCAGCCCTACAGAGGATACAGAAGACTGATACTCACCATCATCAATAATCCAATCATCCTCTTGTCTTTCTCGTACCATCTTCGAGTACTGCTGCTCGTCCACTTCTTCATACACACTTGTAAACTCCTCCACCTGGAAAACATGTAGGGTTGGTTATCAATTCATCACATTATTCTCTCAATTAACTGTTCTGTAAAATGGCCATCTGAATGTCCCAGAGCCGCGGGTGCTTGATGAACGATTATCAAAACTGTGGTCAATGAATTATCCGTCAGTCAAACCACTGATTAATCAACCAATCTTTTTGTAATCTAAAGCAGAGCACTGACTTTCTCAAAGGTAGACAGTCTCATGTGCGGAAAAGTCTGATGTGTAATTCAGTATTTCATTGAAACCGCTCATACTTGAGTGAAATGTGATATAATTTGAATAGACATTTCCCATGTAGCTCCTTTGTACACCATTTTCTTTCCAGGCACAGTGGGAACAATTCATCCTCAGAGGCTGTTTGGTAGATCCAAAGAGAAAGTCAGCACAAACTAATGGATCCTAACAAGTAAGGTGATTATTCTCTGCAATGTACTGCACCCTTAAGTCGATTAACATAAAGTCGCCACACACCGAGTTGAATTACACACAAACAATTACACACAGGTTGCAGAACATCCACTGTTCCGCACATATATAAGCAACAAGGCGTAACTTCCTCACCTCATATTTGATCTTCTCCCCCATCTTGGCTTTCTTGAGCTGCTCCAGCGCTGACTTCCTCCCCACCTTCTCCCTCTTCTCCCGTCTGGAGCGAGACTTTGCCAGACCACAGGCATCACCTCCGTCGTCTGAGGAGGAAGAGGAGGAAGAGGAGGACACATGGACATGACGGCGCAGCAGCAGGTATGACCATGACAGTTTGAGTCGCAGAGGTTTATCCCCAAGAGATACTCCTCTCATGCCACATGATGCAGGGAATAGTTTGAGGAGCGCAGGCGCAAAACACGGCTTCTTTTGCCCTCTGAAACACTACTTTAAGGCGTTTTGTTACAGTTAGTTCAACAATAATGGGATTTATCACACACAGCGCCATTAAAGTTGCAGTGGAAACAAAGTCAAGTCAGAAAATAGCAGACGGCAACAGCAGCGCACCGTGGTTAGCTCACATCACCCAGCTTAAACTATCTTAACTATCTTAGGCTTTAGCAACACTAGAGTCGTATTTACCAGTAAAACTGTCATCTTAACTAGTTAACGCACTTAAATACACATATAGCAGCAAAGGCCTACGCGTGTCCCTTTGTAGTATGACAGCGAAGCTAAAGTGTTAGCTAATTTCTCCTCCAGTTTAAACTCAGCTGACAAGCGCCGCGACACACAAACTCACCGCCGTCCGGACCGTCCGTGTCTTTGTCTGGGTTCGATACCGGAGCCATGACTTTAACGTTTCTGCCTTTAACGTTTCTGCCTTTAAGTTTGCTCAGTGACAGCCGCTCAACGCCGGCGACAGTAGGTCAACACAACAACAGGACAGTCCGCGCCAAATCGTCTTCCCGGGGAAAGTCATACGCAGGAAGTGACATCACAGCGCTGTCAGCCAATGACATGAAGCGACGTCTCCGCTCTTGTCCGCACGGTGGCGCTGTTGTTCAGTGTAACCGTGTTGTTTACTCCACAGGCTCGCAACCAAATTTTAAAAAAGTACAGTATTTTTACAGGATGAGTTTTTAATTTACAACATGTGTCTGACAGAAATGGTAAATTACTCTGTAGATTAAGATTTGACTTGCGAAAACATAATGTTATGACTTAGACTTAGACTTTATTTGTCATTTGGATTTGCATCAAAATGAAATTTCGCTGCAATGGCACATAGCACAGCAGG